TTTTGTTTTTTCCCCCCCCCCCCAACCGATTTTTTTTCCCTTTTTTCCCCTTTTTTTTTTTTTTTTTTTCCCCTTTGGAAAAAAAAATAAAGTTTTTATTTAAAAATGGGGCACCCACAGGAAAATGATGTTTGGGTTTCCCAAGTTTCCCAAGGATGTTTTGAATGGGCCAATATTCACCCCCCCCCCCCCCCCCCCCCCCCCCCCAAATCTATTCTATTTTGTTTTCTTTTTTGGTGTTTTTTATTTTTTATAATTAATTAATAATTATTATATCTGCATTTAATCCTCAATTAATACTTGTGTTATGATGACTGATTTGCCCATATCGCCCAAATGAATTACTATTAGTTATCCAAATCCGTTGGTACTTAAAGGTAATTAAACTTGTTGGATTTGGAGATAATTAGTGATTAATAGCAAATCCTATTGGCCTTTAGAAGAGATTATGTGTGGATCAAAAGAGTAATTTTATTCATTTTGGTGATGGAATTAAGTTTATTACAAATTAATGCAAATCTCTATATATTTAATTCACGTATGACGTAGCACTACTTAGTCCTTATCGAGTACCTCCATGGCTCCATCCGATCGTTAATTATCGTCTTTTTTTTCATCTTTGCATATTAAGAAACTGAATAAATGTGGCCTGATTTTAGGAAAAAACACATTAAAAGAAAATAACCTTTATTATTTAATAATTTACAAGATATAGTTAATGTTTATAGTTGAATTATTAAGGTTAAAATATGAAAAAAGAATACATTTATTACGATATTAGAAATCTAAAGCAACAAATAATATAGAAAAAAAAAATATTTTTCAAAAATATTTGTAACTTTTGAAGAACAATATTATTAGAAATTATTTGTTTTTCTAGATTTTCAACGTGGGGCCCATTTATTTTATTAATGGTTATTAAGGAGTTGCCATTCATGGGAAGGTTATGAGACAGTAGAAATGACGATTCAGCCCTCAAGTAGTGTGTCAGGATGATTCATGATGGTCTTTTGTTTTACGTTATAACTAGTAATTGTAATAATTCTGCCTACTATCATATAATAAGGTGACCATTTTTATTTTTATTTTTTATTTTTATTGAACCATATTATTAAGGGTTAGGCAAATTGAAATAATGGCGAGGGATAGGTCTGAATTGGGCCAATCCCTCAATGTGTTATGAGTGCAATTACTTGAAACATCATAGCTCTCAATGTACTCCTTTTTATATTAAAAAAATTAAATTAAAAAAAAAAAGTACTCTTTTTTTTAATGGCTGTAAAATTGTCAATTAGTTTTTATTTAGCTTTATTAAATAAAAATTACATTAATGAGATATGTCACGGGCATGAATTAATTAGAAAATTTTGTAATTTTAATCCATCCAACTTTAATTTTTCCCCATTTATTTTTTGGAAATTAATTATTTTTTTCCCCATTTAGTTACAATACATAATAGGGTAAGTTGGTGAAATTATTCCCTATTTAAAAATAAATAAATAAATAAAGAGAGAAAAAAAATCCAAATGATGGCAAAGGCTACTAATTAATAATGGCCTATCTCTTTGTAATATTTCATACCTCATATGAATTGTTTTTTTTTTTTTTTTTTTTTTTTTTTTTTTTTTTTTTTTTTTATCTATTTTGCATTCATTCCCATTAAGTGTTCATCATCATTGACCATCGGCATTTTTATATTGCCTATAAATCTACATTCTCGTATAATAACTTGCAACTTATGTATAAAAACGTAAATCACAGGCTAATCGTACGTAACCGCTGACAACGGAATTTGAACTTAGATCAATTGACACAAACTCACTTACTTCGACAGTTAGACCATTCCTTAAGAGACAACATATACAAGATCTTGATTTAGGATTCTTACCCTCTTAATAATTAGTTATTATAGTCACAAAATTAGGCATCAATTGCAAGTTGCATGTAACATCACACTCCAATCACTACCCATAAAATTTAACCCCTAAATATCATAATTATTATTATCATTGGGCATTATTGTTACATGTGAGGATTTCACATATTTTTTTGGTACAAATAATTGTGAAAGTCTTTAATGTCAAATTACTTTTTTTCCCTTTTAAATAGTCCATGAAATTATCCTATTGTTTTATGAGGTAGTAATTCATAATCATTGCACATTATTATTTTCATTCCTTGCAAGGGTTAATGATGGAATTTAAAATCTGCATTTTAAAAATAGCAATTTATAAAATTTATTGAATTTTTATTTTAAAAATAGTTGATTGGTCTAAAGTTTTTTTGTTAAAAAATTGCAATTATCTTAATTTTATTAATAATTAATTATTATTTATTCAAAATTGGAATTTATTCAGGAGTATCATATCGTTGGGAAATTATTTTTTTGAAGAAAAAAGAATTAAAAAAGAAAAAGAGAAAAGAAAATGAGTTCGTGATTAGATTTCAAAGTATAATCAACTTTTTGTTTGTAATGTCTACCTTTCCTCCAACATTATCAATGTCTTTAATCATTTTAGCACTAGGATTAATAATGTATTCGTGGGGTATATTAAATATTAAATATTTGCTCAAAAAAAATTAAAAAAATATTAAATTTGGGTATGGATATTTAATTGGGCCAATGGGCTAGCCAGCATAGTTGTAACTGTGACTTGTGAGCCCAATGCTTTGCACGAAATTCATATTTGGGTTGGATATTTTCATCCCATAAGTTTACACGGATTTCATATCCGGTGATTTATGTTTTAAAAAAATATATATTTGATCCATCATGTTTCAATAATTTAACAGTTTTGGTCATTTTCGTTAATTTATGCGGTCAGCATGCAGCCCTTGCTGTTATAATCAAATTTAGTTTTATTACAATAATGAGTCATCTTATGGGGGCTTTGACCGGTCTTTGTCGAGACCAAATTCATCTATGTATCATAAATTTTCTTCTACATTTCATTAAATTTTCCTTTTGAAATTATTATTATTTTATTTCGAATAATTACGTGGCTCACTATTCATTCTGACTCGGTAAACCATATTTATATATAGAGTGCATGTTTGTTCAACGCATTGGAAGAAAATCATGATTTGTTTCTGGTGGTGAATCGTTTTCCACACCGAGTCGATCCATATTCCACGCTGATCAACTCCAACTAATTACTATAATTAGTTACCTAAACACACATATAATCACACACATGAATTACGTACACTCACACACAAAAAATAATTAGCCATGATAACATCATCAATAAAACTACTAATTCCGACACTCGTCGGTTTATTATGCCTCCATTTTGCCCGGTTCAGCACTGCATCTAATGACAATGAGAGACAGGTTTTTTCTTTTTCTTTTTTAATATATATATTGTGTTGTAAATATTTATTATTAAATATGTGTGTTTTGATAATGCTATTTAATTTTAAATAGATATACATTGTGTACATGGGAGAACTGCCGGCCGAGCAAACAATTTCTCTGACGGATGTACACCACAGCCTTCTTTCAGACATAATTGGAGAGTAATTAATTATATTTATATATATACATATACATATAAATATATATCAATTAGTCTGTAAAGAAATGCATGTATATATATATATTAATGATGTGATTTTAATTTCCAGTGAAACAATAGCTAGGAAATCAAAGCTATACAGTTATGGAAGGAGTTTCAACGCGTTTGCGGCTCGACTATTGCCCCGTGAGGCAGAACTATTATCGAGTATGTGCAACTAATTAAATGTTGAGCAAATAATAAATTAAAAATTTGGATATTATTATATATTGCTGTTTTGATGATGTTTTTTTTTTTGATTTAATTAATTCAGAGAAAGAAGGAGTTGTTTCGGTTTTTAAGAACAGAAAGCTGAAGCTGCTTACGACACGAACATGGGATTTTCTCGGAATGTCGGAGAAAATTAAGAGAAACCATCAAACGGAGAGCAATATAATTGTAGCTCTTATTGATACAGGTATTTATTTAAACTAATTAATCAAATAATATACGTGCTTAATTATTTATTTGCTAGTACATTAATCTTTGTAGGTATATGGACGGAATCACCGAGCTTCAACGACAAAGGCTTCGGCCCTCCTCCTTCCAAATGGAAGGGCAAATGCGTCACCGGCGTAAACTTCACCGGCTGCAACAAGTCCGTTTTCTTTATTTAAAAAAAAAATAGATTTCCTTTAAAGAAAAATAGAAAATTCAAAGTGTTTGTTATACACTATTTGAATAACAAAGATCGATGTTAAATCGGAAGACGAAAAAACTTTCTATCGAATGTAGAGCGTAACGTTAATAAAATGATTACGAATAGTAGCGTATAATGTGGTATAAATAGCCAAATTAGTAAAATTCTAATACAGTAGAATCTCGATAAATTAATAACCTCGTATTTTCGACACGCATGCAGCAAAGTGATCGGCGCACAGTACTTCAACATCGGGGAGAGCGCGCCCCCCGACGAGGCGACACCAGCGGACACTGAAGGGCACGGGACCCACACGGCATCCACGGCCACGGGGGCCGCCGTGGCGTCCGCCAGCCTCTACGGCTTGGGTGAGGGAACCGCCCGGGGGGCGGTCCCCTCCGCCCGTGTGGCGAGCTACAAGGTCTGCTGGGGTTACGGTTGCATGGATGTCGACATGCTGGCGGCATTCGATGCCGCCATTGCTGACGGTGTCGACATCATCTCGGTCTCGATCGGTGGGTCCGTCCGGAGCTTTACGGAAGATTCCATAGGAATCGGATCTTTCCATGCTTTGAAGAAGGGGATCCTGACGGTGTGTGCGGGGGGGAACGACGGGCCCTACTTGGGGTCGATTTCGAACGTGGGCCCGTGGATTATGACGGTTGCTGCTAGCACCGTTGACAGGAGATTCGAGACAGATGTTGAGTTGGGGAATGGTGACAAGATTTCTGTATGTATGTCTTAATTTTTTTATTTTTAAACTTTGTTTTTAATTTATGTTTTCTTCTTACAATGGTATATACTTTTCAGGGGATTGCAATTAATACATTTGCACCCAAAAAAGGGCTTTACCCTCTAACAAGTGGAGCTCTTGCAAAAAATAATGCAACTTTTGGAAATTCAAGGTGACAATAATTTTAATTTATTTTTTGTTTAGCTCCATTAGTCCATAATTTTTTTTTTTTTTAAAGATGTTACTAATTACTTGAATATGATCAGTGCATGTGATTATGGAACACTAGACAAGGAGAAGGTGAAAGGGAAGATAGTGTACTGCAAGGGGGCGGGGGGCGATTATGTCGTAAAGGAATTAGGTGGGGCCGGCACGGTAATGTCGAACGATCAAGACATGGACACTGCGTATGCCACGGGGTCTTCGGCGAGTTATGTCACTCTTAAGGATGGTCTAAAGATTGAAAAATACATTAATTCCACCAAGTAAGTCTTTCTTTTATTTAGCTACAAATTTTTATTTTTTGATCTTGATGAATTACAATGCTTGATCTTGTTATTACAGATCAGCTCAAGGTGTTGTATACAAAACAAGAATTGTTAACACAACTGCACCCTTTATAGCTTCTTTTTCATCTAGAGGACCTCAAACCCTAATCTCTAACATACTCAAGGTAAGAATACAAACAAAGATTCTCTCTCTCTCTCTCTCTCTCTCTCTCTCTCTCTCTCTCTCTCTCTCTCTCTCTCTCTCTCTCTCTCTATTATGTAACAGATTGAATAAGTATGAAATAATGTACACATGCAGCCTGATATTGCTGCACCTGGAGTGAATATATTGGCGGCCATTTCGAAATTCACCACAGTTGTCGGACATGAAAACGATAAGAAAACATCGATATTCAATTTTAATTCCGGAACTTCAATGGCTTGCCCTCATGTAGCCGGGGCCGCGGCCTACGTCAAATCCTTCCATCCAAAGTGGTCTCACGCCGCTATCAAATCCGCCCTTATGACCACTTGTAAGCAATCCTTTCGCCCTTTTCTTCGTTTTATTAAACCCCATTTTTTAATATATTTTCTTTAATTTTTTTTTGTTCTGTAGCAAAACCAATTAAAGTAAAAGAGGGGGGAGAATTAGCCTCCGGGTCGGGACAAATAAACCCGAAAATGGCAGTTCATCCGGGTCTTATTTACGATATCAACACAACCTCGTATGTGGGTTTGCTATGTAAGCAAGGCTACAAAGACAAAGAAATTGCTTTGATAACTGGAAGCGGAAAATACAACTGCTCGAAAATTCAACGTGGAAAAGGTGCCGACGGGATAAACTACCCTTCGATAAATTTGCAAGTCAAGAGTCGAGAAACCAATATATCGGCTGTGTTTTACCGGAGGGTGACTAATGTTGGAGTTGGCAAATCGGTCTACAAGGCCAGAGTTGAGTCGCCGAAGGGCGTTTCGGTCAAAGTGGTTCCGGATATTTTGTTGTTTAGCCGGGCCGATCAGAAGAGGTCGTTTAAGGTGACTTTGAAAGGGAAGTTTGTGGACAAGGATTCGCGGTACCTTTCGGGTTCGTTGGTTTGGAGCGACACCAAGCATGAAGTTAGAAGCCCTATACTCGTGTCACTTCCAATAAGTTAGCACATTTTTTATTTTCTTTTTTGAAAATAAAAAGTTTGAATTTGGCGGGAAATCCCCCATTGTTGCAAATGAGGTGTTGGTGTTAATCTAGGCTAAGAAAAAAAGTTCAAATGAACGAAGCATACTTGCAATAATGAAATAAAAGTTGGGACATTTCTGTAAACAAATACAAATATAGTTGCCAATCTTGAATTTCATCTATTCGTTCCTTGTTCTCGTGGACTTAATACTTAGGGTTCGTTCGGTTATCATTATTAGGTTCTAAACAGTAGAAGCTAATAAAATATTCGGTTGATAAGATTCATATATATACTTATTCAGAACTGCTACAAAAGCTAAAGTTCGTTACTACATGCTACTATTTCATTAATTTAGTAACACACATTAACCATGCGGGCAATTTTGTAAGGGCGTGACTAAACAAGAAAAAAAACAGTTTTATCTTTAAAATTATAGTTTAATTTTATCAAGTAAGAGATAATTTTACGAACAAATTCAATATATAAAACCAGCATTAAACTAATTTAATATGAGAATTAACCTAACGAACCGAACATGCTACTAACTAAATAATTAATTAATCAGTAAGAACTTAATTCAATCTCATCTTATCTAAATTAATCCAATAATCTATATATAATATAAAAAGAGGATCTATGGCCTCAATGATTGACATGTGGCAAATGATGATGTCATTTGTCAAAATTGCTTAGTTGGAGTTCAATTGATTAGGTGGATTCTTCAATTGATTAGGTGGCATTTTTATTTATGGATGTTTTTTAGTTATTTCCTATTTTACATTTACACAATCATTTAATAATTACCACATGTATATATATTATTTTCAAAGTTAATATTTTATAAATTCGAAATAAAAAAATCTTATTTATATTTTCAGTATTTCAAAATATTTTTATTGAAAAAAATTCATGAAACTCGATTTTTTTACGAATATTCAAACAATTTTCATAAAAAAATGTTTTTTTAAATACTAAAATATTAAAATAAAGGAATATGTTGTTGTTGTTGTTTTTTTTTTTTTTCAATATTTTAGAATATTCGAATATCCATTCCATTAAAAATAATAATAAAAACATGTTTTATTTTTTAATTGAACTATTTACTAAATATACACTATTTTTTGTATATAATTTTTATTATACCATATTTCAAATTAAAAATAATTATACTATTTAATAAATATGCAATATTTTGAAATTTGAAAATTTAACAATTTAAATGCAGTATATTTTAAGAAGGAATCTATAATTTACTCCTATGCCACCGAAATATATTTATCATTTGAGATAAATATATTTCCATAACTTTGTAAAGATTTTTAATTTATATGCAGTATATTACCCCAATTTTTATATATTTAACAATTTAAATAAAATATCAAATCACCGATACAAAGGAATCTTTAATATTCCAAGATTCCTTCATATCATCTTTGATTGATTTAATTTACACTTTAATTCAAAATTGAATGGTAAAAAATAAAAATCGTATCTTCATATTTAATGTTTTTATATTGCAAGATCTTTTTCCACAAGCTATTTTTTTATTTTGTTTGGGTTGTTTCCTTTATTTGTTTGATTTGATTTCATTTACTAATATATAAATTTTTTGAATTTTGAATTTTTCCATAGAATTAAGTTCATTTTCAATACTATATAAACCCCTCAATGTTCATTTCATTTTTATCTACCACCATTCGATTACAAAGTGCACAATGTTTGTATTATACAGTTTCATATTACATTTTTTTTATCATTTCTTATAGATTATTATAAGTATATATGCATAGTTTTATATTCATAATTATTTTTATATATACATATTAGTACCATATATTGCCGTGTTACAATACGCAACCGCGCAAATGCGATATGGTATTCTTCATATTTTTACTTGCTTTAAACATTGTATTGAATACATGTGTACTATACGTTAGGATTTAATTTAATCATTTTCAGGTGACATTGAGGTCTCCAATACATTTCATTCTTCCCGGTTTATGATAAATGCAAACATTGACGAAATCAATGACTACAAATCAAGGTTTTTTTAAACATAAATCTCTGTGTATATTTTTTATTTTAAATAAATCCACCTTATTAATCCAACATTGAGTGTTTTTACAGACTCAGCGAGCCAGATAGTTGTCGAGTCGTTAGTCAAATGTCATCAAATTCTTCGTACTCATATGAGGATGACTTTGTTCATAAGTCTGTTAGAAAGACTTTGGATGACTTAAATGAATCGCCTAAGGTATTCCTACTTTGTTTCATAATTTTCTCTGCATATATATAATTTTCAAACTGCAACTATATATTTTAATGTATTATCGTATTAAATTCTAGATTCTGCAACTATATATTTTAATGTATTATCGTATTAAATTCTAGATTGGCACATGCATTGTATTGGCAACGATCACAAATTTGGTGAAAAAATCAAAGTGGTGGCTTTATAGCTGTCCGAATACGAAGTGTAAGAGATCCGTTGAGAAGGATTTGAAGATGGTATTGTGTTCATTGTGATAAGAAATATCATTCGGCTAACCCCATGTAAGCACTATTTAATTTTATTTATTTTATAACAAAAATCAATTTATGTTTGTTAATTACTACTGACATTTAAATATATTAAATTAAAATTTTATTCAGTACTAGGATTTTAAAAATAGATAACATAACATCTATTCCAAATTTGTTATAGATTACTATAATCGTGTTAATATATTGTACTATTGCGCTTATAGGTACAAAAGATTATATCATGTCTAATCCTAAAAAAAATCTTCTTACACCATATCTTAAACACTATGAATACTCCATTGTTTTAACTCATATTTTTACATTGCCTGCCCATAACCCACCGAAATATTTTTGTTTGCTTTGTTTTCATATTTTATTATGTTGTTTTTTTTAATCGATTTTTTTTTTTGTTCTTGATAAAAACATTAATTGGATTTCGTTGTTATTTCATTTTTCTTGATATTATTTTTCATTATTATTTGTTGTTATTTTTTTCCATTTCTTCTTCTAATTTGTTTTCCATTTCATTACGTCTTTCTTATTTTTTGTAAAAAAACATATTGTGGTTTGTAACTATTATAATATTATGATTTTTTTATTGTTAGTCACTGTGATTTCTTCTTCTTCTTTTTTATTTTACTATTTATATTTTCTTTTAATTGTTATATCATTTTTTTAGTATTGTTGATGTTCATTTTTCATTGTTGATTGTTGTTATTTTTCTTTTCATTTCTTCTTTTGCTTTTCAGAATCTCGGCAAGATGTGTGTAATATACGACAAACTAATCATTAAAACTCTACACTGAATTGTTTACATGGACACGATGTATTCAACCAAGAAGATTATTCAATTGAAGAATATAGTAGACAAATTGTGATTCTAAATGTTTATGTATTATATCGAGCTTTGTAGTGGGGTTTTCACCTAGGTCGGGTTTTGGTAATTTCAATTTATTATGCTTATATTAAGCATTGTAATTTAAACTTTTTATGTCTTATTCAAACTATTTATTTTTTGGCGAATTATTGTAAACATGCAATTATGTAAAGATTCCGACTCAATTTGAAGATACATTCTTTTGTCAATCACTATTTAAATATTTTACTGAATTGTCTTTTTCTCTAAAAATATATTATGATATTTATTTGTTCCATATTTGTATTTGTTAATGATTACCTAATAATCTACTGTTGATACTCAGTTAAATTTCTTTAATATTATTCTTTTAATGATTGAAAACCAAATTAAATTTATATTTTATAAATGAATCTATAATGATTTATTTTCATGAAAGCTAAATATTATTCCATAATTTATGTAATTTTATATTGTAAAGCGCACATCACACACAATATGACATAATTATAATTAATATTTTAAAAATATGTAAGTATTGCCTTTAAATTGTTGTTCATGCAAATCAAAGTAGGGCTATATACAAATTTTGATTTCCACATATCCGAATTTAAGTTTTTTTTATCACGCAAAAAACTTGACATATTAACCACTAATTTTTTCACTATCGATTATTTATAAAAGCAAATTATCTTTTATATCGAATTGTGTCTATTAACCACTAAAATGATTTTAATACTATTTTGACAATTCACAATGTTTATTTGCATTTATATTATTTAAAGGGATAAAATACAGTTTGCACCGTTAAAGTATAGGGTTGGTAACACTTACATCCCTAAAGTTGCAAGTGTAACACTTACCCCCTCCGTTAATGAATATATTTTATTATCATATATTTATAAATATTTACATAATATGCATAATTTAATTTAACATGTAAGGTTAGTTATAGATTTGATATTACATGATATATTGAATTATCATTTTGCACTTGCTAGATAATGTTCATTTAGTTGAAACAATAATTTAAATAAAATCTTAATTGAAAATTGACATTGGGAATTTTTGTTTCTCCTCAAATATTTATATTATTATTAAATTCAATATCAATAAGAGTATTAATATCAGTATCACTATCCGTATGAAAATCAATATCAGTATCAATATGAGAATCAATACGAGTCTCAGTATGAGTATAAGTATCAGTGTTAGTATCAGTATCAATATCAGTCTCAATATCATTATGAGTTTCGATGTGAATATATAATGCATCAGTATGAGTATAGATATGAATATGAGTATTAATATCAGTATTATTGTTAGTATTAGTGTACTTATCAGTATCAGTATCAATACGGTTATTAGTATGACTATCAATATGAGTAACAATATTAGTATTAATATTAGTGTCAGACTGTCAGTGTTTGTAAAGTATTAGTATCAATGTTAGTGTCAATATCAATATCAGTATAAGTATCAATATTAGTACCAATATAGTATGAATATGAGTATGAGTATCAATATAGTATATGTGTGAGTATCAATAGAGTATTAGTATTAGTATCAGTATAAGTGTCAGTATTAGTATCAATATTAATTCCAGCATTAGTATCAGTATTAGTGTTAGTATTAATATTGTATCAGATCAGTATCAGTCAAGGTTGTAAAAAGCGGTAATCGGGTCGGAGGCGGTCAGACACCGACTCACGATTAATCGGTGCGGCGGTGATTAATCGGTGATAAATCGTAAATAAATCGATTTTTAAAATTTAATATAATATATTTTTAGATATTATTTATAACTACTCATAACATATATAAAAAATATATTTAAACATAGTTAT